CCCACACCCGCACCCCACACACACCCACATAACCATACCCCACATCCACACCCTTTTTAAGTTGATTTGATGAATTCTCTCATCTATTTGTTAATCAACGTCACATATATTACTTTATTTGACGGCGAATTATTTGATATGTTCAAATTTTAATTATTTTAGAGATAATTAATTAGATTGAGTATATAAATTAAATTTATATACCATAAGTATTATATTAATTAATATTATTAAATTTATCATATAAGTTATAAATTATACTTGTTATCAATTACTAATAAATTGACACTTAATTTAAATTACCTGAATTAATTATTATCTATAATTCATTAAATATGGCTATGAGGTAGTTATTAACCAATTTCATCAAGCGAAATTTATTGATCAATCAATTATTCTTTCAAATTTCAAAAATTTATTAAAAATTCCATTAACTGAAGTCTATTTATACCAATTAATCATTGGATGAATTTATTGATCAATCTGCTATTAATGAATTATTAAACTATATTCTTAATGGTATTATTAAATTGTAGAGCAATGTGTAAAAGAAAAATATATACTATATATGTAAGAAAAATATATGCGTCTGCGATGAAAATATGGTTAGCTAAATTCCATGTACTTTGGAATAAATACTTCGGTGAATCTCCAATCAATGAAGTTAGGCCCATTCTTGGCATTCACAATTGAATAATTTATAAAAATGTCTAACTCTTAAATATTCTCGAATGAGTATATTCTTATTTTTGGATCCGGTTGATAATGAATTAGAGCCAAGCCGGGACACTTGAGTTTATTAATGAATGACATTTTCTCAGTTTTTTAGTTTATTAGTTTATTAATGCTTTTTGTTTATTTCACTGTTTATTATATTGGCTATTCTTTTTTTATTTAATTGTTCATTTCAATAGTGATTTTTCTGTTTGTCTCTCTTTTACTTTGCTATGTAATGTGTAATTCAATATAATTTTAATGTAGTTTTTCACTATACTTGTGTTTGTCAATTTTACTACTTCTATTTTGTCTTTACGTATGTGCTTTTCATTGTAATGCAGAGCCCTGATGAGTGTTTTGTTATTGAAATAAAATAAACACGAAACGCGTCGGCGCAAACAAACTCTGCATTTCTATTTATTATTTGATTAAGCACAAAATTTTCAACTTTGAAAATAATTCCGACATCATCGGTTGCCGAAAAGCAAGAGTTGAGACTAGCAGATTGATTTGTATCAGAGGAATATAGATCGGTCTGTTTTCTGATTGATTTACACCCACACCCTTTGGCCAGATATTTTGTATAAGTGGGGTATATTTTATTATAATTTTTCAAGGAATTCAAGGATTTCGGTGGCGCTTACCGGTATACAGTGGTTAGGAGGTTTACAGTACAGAAACAAGTATTTTTGACTTCCTAGTCCTTCATTTATTGGATTCGATGTTGAATTTTTGTACTCTATTATTCCCCAAATCGACGACATAGAGATTGCCATGTCGATCGAATGACAAACCGGTGGGCAAACTGAGTTGGTTCGATTGTTCTCCACTACCGTTTCCACCAACAATGACACTTCCCTGTGTGGCTCCTTTGGGCCAACGTTTGATACTTCCACTCCCTCGATCAGCCACATAGACAGTGCCCAATTGATCAACAACGACTCCTTGAGGATATGACAATTGTGTAAGATCATTTCCTTGTCCTTGACCACCAGCCACGACAATGCCTTGTTTTGCACCTTCCATCCATTTCATCACACGATGACCGCGCCATTCAGACACATATACTGAATGATCTCGATCGACGAATACGTATTGTGGAAAAGAGAGTTGATTGAGATCATCTCCAAATCCATTACCACCTGCAACCACTATTCCTTGAGATTCTCCTCTTCGATATCGTCTCACTTCATCTTTTTCACTGTTAACAACATAGAGATATTCATTCTCGTCCATTGTCAAACTCCAACAATCGCTGTTGGAGATGATTGTTTCTCCACTTGTTCCATTTCGACGAGGCCATCGAACCACTCTTTTATTCGCACTATCGCAGATGATGAGACTATCTGTCTCTTTGTTGACAATCACATCATATGGGTTATTCAATTGATGAGTCCCACTTCCTTCGCCATTTCCACCTGCAACCACTTGGCCACTTGTTGCACCCCATTTCCATTCCATAATACGATGATTCGGTGGATCAGCGACATAAACTGTTTGATCATCATCAACATATAAACCATATGGACTTAAGAGTTGATTGATTCCATTTCCTTGTCCATTTCCTCCAGCGACAGTGATACCATTCTGTTGCCATCGAGCATTTGGATGAATGTCAATTGAACTACCACGTAATGGATGGACTGAAATAGAGAGAAAGGAGATGATAAAATGGTAAAATAAGAGAGAAGAGAAGAGAAAGAGAAAGAGACTATAGAGAGAAAAAAGTGAAAAGTTCATTTGAATTTTTGCAAAATCAACATCATTCCAAGTTTTGGCTCGTTTCCAATTTTGTCTTGATGAAAATCTGATTTGCAAGAAGAAAAATATTTTAGTTTTTAGCGAGAGACCCTAGAATATGTTAAATATTAATCATATGATCATTGAGTCATTTTGTTCTATTTTTATCTTATTGTTCTGGAATTGAATATTTTTATAAATTTAGACATACTTTTTTCTCATGTTTCAGATAAAAATATTCATGAAAGCGAAGGATGGAAAAAACAAAAAAAATTATTTTTATAATATTTTAATTATAGACGGCGCGCCCACAGATGTTTTTTTCATTTGATTCTACTAAAAGTCACAATTTAATTTTAGAGCAACTATTCTCTGCGATACAGCTCAGATATAGTCCTTTAGAATTTTGTGTCAAACTTCAAATTCGCAAGTCTTTTATTCTTTCATCATATCTTGAGATTTTCTTTTTTGGGTCTAATAATGCACTATTCTGTATGTGGATCTTTCACATTCTTATGACAACATTTTCAAAAACATTTAATTTTTCGGGATTAACAAATTTGTTTTAGTCTATTATGAGAAAAGTCATGCTTGTGTTTTACATTGTCATGACGACATTTATTACACTCAGGTAGTATACTAATCGATTTGTTTTTTTTGATTAACTTCAAACTATCAAATTTCATTGTTAACCCTAGTACTACCAGCCTGGATCATTTTTGACCCGTTTTTCAGACCTTCTTCTAAAAACCGAATTTCGTTCCAAGTCAAGTGAAATAACCTGATATTTTCAGGATAGATTGTGGTTGTAGTGGGGAGGCTATGGTAAAATTTTCACGTCTATATCATGATGTTTTAGGGAAATAATAATCAAATAATGGTCAAAAATAGCTCATTTGGCAACCCAAATTTCCCTTTTGTTACTTATACAATATATTTAATATTTTTTCTGTTCGAAAGAGCATGTCAGGATACAGAGTATGACCAAGCTCTTCTTAATTTAAAAGAAGGACTCCGTCATGTCTTGCACCTTGACATGCTCTTTCGAACAAAAAAAATATTAAATATATTGTATAAGTAACAAAAGAGAAATTTGGGTTGTCGAACGAGCTATTTTTGACCATTATTTGATTATTATTTCCCTAAAACATCATGATGTAGACGTGAAAATTTTACCATAGTTTCTCCACTACAATCACAATCTGTCCTGAAAATATCAGGTTATTTCACTTGACTTGGTACGAAATTCGATTTTTGAGAAGAAGATCTGAAAAACGGGTCAAAAATGACCCAGGTTGATAGTACTAGGGTTAAAGATATATTCTCCCTCTCTCTTGTTTTCATATTGCCCTTGAGTTGCTAATGTAGCCGAGGAAATTTTTTTGAATACAGTTTCAGAGTTAAATTGAAAATGATTTTTCATTAAACATAAGAATGAATACCATGCACTCCACTAGTCATAAGTCATAGGTTTTTTCTTGATCATAATCATAAATATATAATAGAGTAGTAGTCAACAAATCCGAGCGTTGAAGAATACTTATTTCAGAATTGTCGAAACTTACATGGAAAACAAGTGAGTTCAGACAAAAACAAATCATGTCAAATTTTCTTTCACAAAAAATCTGGCTTGATCAAGTTCATGCCATTATGATTTAGAAATACGGATGTCTAGCACCTAAACTTCTAAACAGATTCAAGAGTAATATAACAGACCGATTTTCTCAACTCTCCATTTTGTCCATATGACAATGTGCATCTACGAAAAGTCTGAAATATTAACGAATATTTATGACTGAACATTATATGGCAGAATGACTAAATCTATTATTTAGTCATACAAGCCTCATCTTATATGACTCTTTTCTGCTTTCAAAAAAAAGCTACCAAAATATCAACTTTTTACAAATGACATTCATCAACAGTAAAAACAATTCCCTCCCTACATCTTACATATCTTAGAACAAGTCATTATGGACATCATCAAAAACGATGATCCTCGAAAAAAAATCGATTCATCGATACTGTATATTTTGAATGCTTAAGTATATTCCTCATTTACGATGATACTTTTCAACAACAACATTAGATAGAACTAATCTTTTGAATATTTTTTTTTATCTGAAGGGTTGACGACAAAAGAAAAGCTTTTGCAATGTCTCTTGTAATAAGTTATCCCATTGGTAAATAAGTTCTGCACGTTTGGATCAGTAGAATTATATTGTTAATATAAAACTACATTTTAAGAAAAGCAATTATATATTCTGATAGCACTCAGAATTCTCTATCACCCTGTGTATTTAAGTCTTGACTTACATTTATTTACTGAAAAATATTTCGAGTACAGTGAAGATACCATCATCCGCATTGGCAATGTTCGAAATATTTCTCGGCAAATAAGTTCAAGCCAAGACCTGAATATATAGAGTGATAGAACATATTAAGGACTCTTAGAATATATAATTACTTTTTTAAAAGATGGATTACTGTATAGATAAAAATTTTGAAAAACATATGAAAAAGGAACGAAAAATGAAGTTAGTGGGGATCTGAGGGTGACGGTGTCTTCACTGTATTCGAAATATTTTTCAGCAAATAAATGCAAGTCAAGACTTAAATACACAGGATGATAGAGAATTCTGAGCGCTATCAGAATATATAATTACTTTTCTTAAAATGTAGTTTTATATTAGCAATATAATTCTACTAATCCAAATGTGCAGAACTTATTTACCAATGGGATACTCCTTTTAATGAGTTGTGTCAGTTAAATACAATAAATTTTCAATAATAACTTATTAGATATTACTTTTTAACATATATCTTGTTTGTCTATGTGTGAGTTCAACTTTATGTATTGGAAATATAACAAAAAAACAAAACAAAACCAAAATGAGCTCCGACTTTTACGAAATAATGGGTGGTCCAGGAATAGTTGTGCTGTTAGTATTTTCAAGAGTTCTTTCGTACTGTACATCTGATCGAGATATCTTTTTTTAACAAAAAGCTAGTGCTTGAAATTCTGTGCGAAACCGTATATGCTTGTTAAAACCAAAA